AATAGCAAGAATAACGTTTCGGGTTTTGGTCTACAATCGGTGGTTATTTCGAAGTTACAACAAGTTGAGAAGGTGATTATTATTCAGGGTGAAAAAATTGGCTGGTTACAAATTGCTTGTTTCAGTTCAAATAATGAAATTCCTATTTTTCGGATGCTTGTGATTTCTCCGTGGTTATAAACACGGTTGCCCATGATTTATAAGAGAACTTCAAATAAATTTTCTTTGAACCAGTGGTCTTCTTTTTCTTGGCGAAGCATCTATTTAGACGATTGGGTAGCAAAGAATGTTCTGTGATTGAGAATCGTAGTCGTTGAGTTTCGGATTTATATCGTGCATCTAATTGCTATAACCCTATGAATAAAGCTTTTTCCTCATGGTGCATTATGATATCTGGAAACCATAAGCACACTGCCTTCGATAAATTTATTTTTACTTTTTAAATGACAGCAAATAGTGAGTCATTTGAGGCGATAGGATAAATACCACTAAACGCTTTCGTGAAGAGATTAGGATATGTTTATTTTCTCGACTAGGAGATGATCTTTTTACCCAGAAAGCTCTCAGGGTGTCCGGTTTTAATTTGTTATTCAAAGATAACGTTGAGTTGCTCACTTAGGTAGTAACAAGGGGGTAGCTTTAGGTAATGCGTCATAGAAGTAAGCAGTGTATGTCTATTGTGTCTAAATATATTAAACGTTGTAAAGCCGTTCAAATCGTAGTTCTCAAATATGAGTTAGTTTTTTAAATAATGAGTGTACCGTGCTAGCGTTTGTGCTCGAAACGTCATCAGTTAATATAACTGTACAACACTGTCTGATTTATCAAAATAAAATCTTATCCATAATGGAGTTATACTCTACCACAGTGCCCAAGTTTTATACTTATATCAGCGTTTACCTTGGTTTGCATACCTAGCTCATGCATGCGTGTGATATACATTTAAGGCTAATACGCTGTTTGATGAATTAGTCCGAGATACTTAAAGTCAGACTTGAGCTCTATATCACTGTCATCAATTTTGCAACGGTCATAGGAATTAACAGCTTCACCTGACTTTCTCTTACATCGGAAACTGAAATTGACAGTCTGACATTTGGAAGGATTTAGTTTAAAAGCATTTTCTGACTACTAATAGAGAGCTGTTCATCTTAGTACAGTGTAGATGCGAATTAAAAGACACTGGAATAGTTAGTCCGCGCACTTGACATATTTCATTTCGTATGCATATGTACATTAAGTTCGTCAAACAAAAATACAATTAGTAGTGGACGACTATAATGGATAAAATGCTGTGATGCAAGACTGCAGCTGCATCTAAAGTAATTCTACTGTGTTTATAGGCGAATTATTTGAGATCGTTATAGGCTTTAAGTGAAGGTTGAGGATTAAGTAAGAGTAACTTTTCCATAGGTTTTAGAAAAGGGGAGGTAATAGCAATAGGTCTAAATTTAAAGCATGTTCCATTAGACGACTTAGGTATGGGTACAATTTTAAAGTCCTTCCAAACGGCTGGCACAACATTTCTGGAAAAAGATTCATTAAATATGTGAGAGCATATCTGTACATTTTTTAAGAATAAGGCTAGGCAAACAATCTGGAACTACAAGAAGGGTTCAACGACTGGTGATATTTTAGAACGTCATTTAATAATAATAATGATTTACTTTATTCCAAAAACAGTACTTGTGATACAGAATGGAATTTTCAGCATTAATCACAATATTGCATCTAATTTCCTCAAATTATAAATAAAATTAATCACATAGAAAATTTTTCTACATTTACAATAGGGTTGATATAAAAAAAATAAAAAACATGCAGCATATAAAATGGAAATAATAATAATGATAGCAGCTAAGGTAATGATAATAATACAAGTGGAAATTGCCGTGGGCTTGTTTCACACAGTATTGTCGATGCGGTATACAAATCCTTGCATGATTAAAAATATTGAATATGATGTTCTCTTTACATGATATGGTAAGGGGAAAAACAAAGATTACAGCAGTCATAGAGATAAGTGAAAACAAAGAATCAACAGGACCATAAATATAATAGAAATAATAAAAGTAAAACTTGAAGGTATATAAAGATGGATGGAGGAGATTGTTTACTTTGAAATAATAGAGAAGATTTGTAGCTCAGGTGGATGATTTGCAATTAAAAGTGTTCTCTGAAGAAGAAGAAATTTAAATCATTTCACTCTGTGCTAAATATGGCGCTGAAGATGTTGTCCGGAAGGACGACGAAAGCTTCGCGACTAAACCAACCAGCTCAGAGAACACTTTTAATTGCAGATTGTCTATTTACTAGATGAAAAAAGGTTTGTATTGAAACCAAGGAAGCAACTCTCATTAACACTTGTGACACCAGAAACCTTGGTATTTGTGGGAGAATGTATGAATGCCTTGTTAACCGTACACACATCAAATGAATGGGATATACTGTTGTAATACTGGAGGTAATCAGATGCATAAATGCGTAAGTTATTTAATATCCATAAAGTAGATATGCAAACACCGCAGTTGTTGATTATAGAAATGATGGATATTAGATAACATCACATGATTCAACGGCATATTAGAAGTAGATGAAAATTGTTTCTTTGCTCACTGTCAAGTGAACAGTCTATTTGACGATGTCACTGCATATTAACAGATTAGTGAAGTAGCTGTCAAGCCTAAGTCATTAAATTTACTTGTACTTCATACTTGGCGTTTAACAGTGTACAGAATTGCAACTGGCTAGATAAGGCGATTTTAGCGTATCGAACAGTACAGAATTATTATTTAAATTGCTAAATCTTACTTAGTTTTTACAATGTCCTACTGTATAGAAACAGACACGAAATCTTACGAAGGGCTAAAGTAACAGTCTCATAATACTATAGTAAATCTCCATCCCTCTAACTAAGCTTAACATGCATTGATCCGAATTCACGCACTGAAAAAGTCTAGGGGAAGTAGAATTGAAGAGTATATTAAACATTTCATTAATTTACAAAAGAAAATCCCGATGAAGAGTATTAACGTTAGTTTGTCCGGATGATATTTCCGCTGGTTTCATATTCGACAACTTCCGTATACCTGAAAAAAATAAAGAACATGTAAGGACTAGCACAACATGAAGTTATGAAAGATAATTCTACATATTAGCACACACTGAATACACTGATTCGGTTAATACTAAGTAATATCTCATGCGAATAAATGTATATGTAGTTTTCAGCTGGTTTTTATATTGGCACTGTAAGCATCAATAGACCTCAAATGTTTTCCAGTATTAAAGGATTACACGCAAATATCAAGACAATCTTTGAAGCTTCCATACTGTTGAGGCGTCATACTACCATTAACCTTAGTTGCAGATCAACTTCACACTGAATACGTTTACATTAAATGAAGTATTGCTAATGTGTAACTTAGAAATTGATCCATAATCTCAGTAATGTCTAATGAGCATAGTTTTATGAATCCTACAGAAATTACATTCTCATATTTAGGAATCTATAGCCATCAAATATAAGCTGAACATGCTTCAACTCTAAGCAACTATGCACAGTGTTAGCAGCATAGAGAAACACTTAAAATATTGTAAGATACGCAGACCTGTTGCGTCGATGAGGATAACAATGACATATAATGCAACCTAGACATTCGATAGTGACACTGCATCTGTACTGCTTCATGTTAATGGAAAATTCAGGAAAAATTCATCACCACTACTGGTGATCAAAAACAGTGCAGCATTAAGTTTATAGTGCCAGTGAGAATGGCATAACAGACAGTAGATTGATAGTAATAGAGCTGACTAGATTCAGTTCTCATAATCGACACAATCCATGTGTATAATGATACTATACACTGAATTAATGCCCTAAGCGACACAGTCAGGAATTTAAACGAGTGATTGCCTTCTCCACGGCACTGCACTTGCAATAATCATGACAACCACCTACGTTTGCTAGCCAAGCAGTCAGCTAAGTAGACAATGGCACAATATAAATAAAGTTGAGGTATTTTTTATACATTGAGTCCACATAACTCATATTACACTACACTAAACAGTGCAAATATACATGAGATCCACTCAGAAATAACCTCTCAACTTACGATAATTCCTGTCCAAACACACACGTTGAGACACATCTACATGATTACTTCTATTCTCACAGAAGGTTCTGTTAGCATTTACAGGTGATTTCGCAGTACTGATAGAATTCTTTTGTCAAAAAGGACTGTTCTTCACACGAAAATAGGCTGAATTAATATCCTGAGACGTGAAGTCTCCATTGAATGATACCATGACGAAAGGTGCAGCATCTAAATAAAGTAGATTATTTGTGTAGATGAAATTACCCTTCAACTATCCTATCTTTCTCACTATAGCGATATTTTGCTACAGTTCACCTGAAACACTGATCGTTGCAACCAATATGCTAGGGGGTGTCGCAGTCAGATTACATGACGCGGACACCAAAATAACAGGCCAGAAAATGGGAATTCTCATCAATCCAGATAACATATAACGCAATTTCATTAAAAATTATTGACAAAAAAAAATTTCCAAGGGAAATTTTAACAGCGCTACTAGAACATGGCATTTAACGTCTACCTTACGTTTTCTTATTCTTTCTGTCTGTTAGTCTGAATACCTTTAATAATTAAATCTATTATTATTATCTCTTTTCCATTGACGACAATACCGAAGGACTAACTGGTGAAAGGATCAACTCCATTCACAGTAGTAACAGTCATAACACACCTCATTCTACAAACCCCATTTAATTAACCCCAGCACTACTCATGTTGGAGTCAACCAAAACTACTATAGTCGAGTGGCGGGACGAGCTACACAGACGTTCACCGAAGATCAGGAACCTCTACCTCACAATCAAGAGGCGAGCACAAAGAAATCAAATTGGTTTATACTAGCTCGTAAAAACGATACTGGATATTGGAACGTTTACGGTATCTTAGTGATCACAAGCGCAAATACGAAATTCTACGGAACGTTATCTGTAATGTAAAAGATTATTGTATGAATATTTTAGAAATGGAGGATCAGATTTCTTTATCTGTCGGACTCGATAATGCCGTCACGCAGTTTGAAACCTACGAGGATTTTCTCGATTCTCAGATAACAGCAACTGACTTATTTTATTTGGAGGTTGTAAAATCACCTAATAATAATTCTGATAGGATGAAGAATTGGCTCGTCAGCTTGTCGAACTTGGTTACCGGGGATCTGGTGAAACTGTTAAACGTGAAGACTTTAACAATCGTAAGAAAGCACTAGCGGAAGCAATGCTAGCTAAGGAACAACAGAAAGAGTAATACGAGAAAAATTTACCTTGGTTTGTTTATCTCTTCCTAAATTAAATTTATATATACAAACTGTGCACACATCTTTGCAACTGTTCTAAATACAATGAAGTTTCGCTTCAGTTTGGTAATTATAACTTATTTGCAATTTAGGTGATATAATGTATTCAGTGATAGTATAAGTAGACATACAGTGATATGCAAAAAGAGAAAGTCAGTTCATAGCTGCATTGACTGAGAAGACTAGGAAATTTGTTACGCCTTTGGAGTCGCCACTGTCTTCCATGGGTAACGTTATAACATACCAGTTATAGCTGACATAGAGGTACGTTGGTAAAAGATACTGACTGTCAGACGGAACATTATCACTGACTCAATGAGCATTTAACCGTTTGTCTGGATCACCTAGGGTGTTAACAATCTATAGATGTTTCAAGAGTGTCTGTAGCATTGCTCAAAATCGTTCTTAATGGTCCACATAGGCTCACTGATTGCTATTATCCAGGTTCTGAAAATCACTAACTTACATCTAATGAGATCCCTCTTGTACATATTTTCGTACTGCGGTTCTATCATACTTGTATTCTCTAACTTTTTGTTTACTTTTGTGATGTAAGACAATCTGAACTGCTGCACTTTGTGTAAAGTTCTGTGGTGATAATTATGTTCATTTAAGTCTTTAGAAAGATACTACTCTACTAATGTCAGATAAAAATTTGTTTTGTGCTAGTAAGCTCCATCCAGACTTGTAGATATTTTGTGCTGATCAGTTAAACCCACTTAAACACCTAGCAGTTCTTGTGTAAGACCAATGGTTATTACTAATGAGAATATTATGTACATAAAAGATAGGATTACTAAAATGGGTAACTATACACTGATTGTTATATATCTAAGATAAGATAGGTTAATTTTCACTTAGTTTTACTCAAAATCCTTCACAATCTGGCTGGTACACCTAATCTTGTTAAATTTGAAGTTCTTTCTACCTTATGTCTTTCCTTTAGTTAATTCGTTTTTTTCTCATTTCACATTTACTTAGTTAATCAATCTAAGCTTGGTATGACATTGGAAGAAATGGTTCTATTTCTATGGAGTATGCCACCTGTTTTCCTTTTTCATCAGCGTAATAACTGAAGCATCCTTAAGACTCACTGTTACTACTTTTCCTTGGTGGTTGGGTTATAGTAGACTTATTTGCGATTTCGGTAACGGTACAAAATATCAGAATAAAAAAGCCATGTTTGTGAAATAATATTGTAACAGTGCATTATAAAAATTCAGTTACTGAGTTATAGAAATTGATGTTTACTTGGTGATCCAGTTAATGTCCGCTGCTACAAATAATTAATATAATCCGCTGTAGCGTTCACTGCCAGAGTCTTATCTACTACTAGCTGTGCACCGGTTGTAGAATAGTCTTCGGATGAGGATGAGAGGTCCCTGCAAAATCCAAAGGATACAACACGGTTAGTAGTGAAGCAAGTAGACAGTACGGACAAGCAAGAAGTCGAAGCGTCGAGCGGTACTCTGTTTGTTTTTTGACTGCACTCCAAAGTTATGTGTATTCTATAATGAATCGTTTTAAACGAAAGTTGTGTACAGTGTTTGCATTTTTAAAATCTAACAAAAAACTGTACAATCATATTGTTCCAGACTCCACAGCCTTGGCATATGGCAGTGGTCCCACGAGTTACACTGACTCAAATCAATGTACCTTCAGGTCCTAACATGCAGGTCACTGGGACAGCAGTTGAGCTAAAGGCAGATATCATCACAGTGTAAGCTCTTTACACTCTGTTGGTAGTCTGGTCAAATTCGTATTGCTGTCGAATAGTGATGTCACAACAGTAATGTGCCACTCGTGGACGACCAGCAAGCCATACTGCGTTTTTCCTCTAGATAAGGAGGATTGGGAAGGGCAGATCTCAAAAACTATGCAACGCAACTTACCCTGAAGTGGCATGTATTTGGGCGGTGGAAGGTCTCTCTAGTAACCCAACTCCGAAACACACCTACAACGGGGACCAGTCTACTGGATTTTCCTTTCTCTGCATTCTGAATTGCATACAGGGTTTCAAAGTCCTAAAGTTCTAGAATTCTGGTAGCGATGATGGAGTCGCTAGCCTTGCTCCCAACCTGCCTTCTTTTATTAGCTTAATACAAGCTAGGTGATATTTGGGAGTGTGTCGGTCGAGAATTGGACCCGGAACTCCTGTGTGGTTGGTATGTTCCCACCACTGGTCAGTCGATGGACAGTCTACTGGAATAGTGCTAAAACATATCTGGGATAACATCAAACCTAGAGCAGTAAATCTCCTGTATATGGTTCTATTTTCCATTGGCTGTAGCCCAATGTCATTTATTTTCCTGAAACATTAATTCAGACTTATCCTTTACCCCCACTTAGCCTTAAATGTAGTTTAAAAATAAAGTATATCAACGGTCGCGAGACATACGCTGTATCGAAACGCAATGCTTGTCTTGTAACTTCCGAAGTACTTTCTCTACTGATACCATAGATAAACTGAAACAAAAAGCTGATCATCCAAAATTTGATGTATATTTCGCAATCAAAGATTAGCTAGAGATGGAGCAGGAACGACCAAAAGTAACACAGTAGTGTGCCAAACGGCGTGGATGCTTGACATCATGACTTCAGATCAGCAAGTCGACTTAAATAATGAAGGCTTGCATCCAGCATTGAGAGAAGAATTTTTTGGCGATTTAGATGAAAGCAATAGATTGAGCGAAGAAATGCATTCCTTTCCAGTTAGTTCATCATTGGCTCTACACTGATATGTAGTTTTTTGGAGAATTACTTGCCATAGTGTTGTGTCTTTCTTTCAGAAACATTTGAAATTATAAGTCACTTACATTCTCATATTTTAATTTGAGTAATCTCTTGAAAAGATTATGTTCAGAACAATTTTTCCGTTTTAGTGCGCTAGCATCTTCGGGTTTACAGATATCCTGCCCATTCAACCAGGCTTTGGCTTTGAGAGAGGGGCCCAACAGGACGGGTAAAATGTCTGTAAGTAATACGTTTTAATCGACTACTATACGATGGAATTTTTATATCTCCTTCAGCCTTTGTCAGGTCACTTTAATTGAGATTCTTGCATATTATAAAGAAGACATTCCTTTCTCTTTAGTTACCTGTGACTGGAAAATTTAGTTATATATCGAAAAAAATACTCACAATAACTCGAACGAATCCAACTTTTGTTATTTCCCGGACCCTAAAATTTTTCCTTCCTTGTGTTGCCGCCTCTTACATCTGTATCTTCCCATTCTAATATGATTCAGTTTCTTTATTTTGCCATCTTTGTATGATATTTTGTTGTTTAGCAACCTAAAATGATTCGGTTTTGTATGAGGACTTTTGATGACTCTCTGCTTCTCATCATTTTCATTTTTATGGAGATGTTGTAGTATACTGAGTTTCATGCTAGTGTAAGAGTTGAATTTCGACACTTTGAAAAAGTACAGTTCCATATAAGATTATTCGAATTAATACACAATCATACTGTATTAGCAACTGAAGGATGTTTAGAGTATCATTTATCGCTCATAATCATGTCACTCTATTCACACAACTTCATAACTTGCCTTACATGCTTTCACTCCGCTTACTTTTTGTCACAATTTCTAATACACTCGGTATCTTTTGGATTGCTTGTGTTTATTGCTAGTTCGATGAACACAGATTTGGTATTTAACCTTTCTATCTCTCCCTTTTCATCCAACTATATAACTCTTTGGTAGTTTGACCCTATTGCACCCTATCGTTTGATTACATGCAAGTAAATGCGCCGCATTGGGCAGGCTTTTTTCTAGATTACCTAACTTAGATCGGGTGATCATTTCGAATATAGCTAAATCCCTATGTTGCGATAATCTAACTAACTCCGATCAACCAGTCGACCTATGTAACTAGCCTCATAATCATTCCATATCTTATTTTCCCTAATTAGACCTATCGGATTTTTAAGCCGAAAAAGTTTGTCTCTAGTTGATTTAGATGGGATCCCCAATTCCAGCCTACTAAGAATCTCGAGTAGAGATCCTTATTTTCCCTGTTTATAGGGTAGTGGTATGGAGGCTCTGAATTCCTTATTATTTGTAATACTCTCACTGTTTACATCATAACTTATAGTGTTGTTATGGGTCTCAATATTTGTCTGAATAAAACCTGTTGGGCAGTTACTCACCAGTATATAGTTATTACTACTGTATCACTGTGCTATTCCAAGCAGACTTGTCCAGTATAAAATCAAGTTTCATACTACTTGTACTGTTGCTGTGCAGAATGAAGTTTTATTTCAAAATCATAAGACAGACTTCTACTTCCTTTGTCAGTAAGTCAGACTTTTCACATGCAAATATCAGAAATCATTCAAATTTGTGGAAGTGCACTTTTTGAACATAAAAAGCTTTCTGGTTAGAAAGCGAGGCAAACATGAGTATTTTATCCATATACACCTTCAATTTTCTTTATTTAATTACTGAAAAGTTAAATTAGAAAACCAACAACTCAGCAATCCATTTTAAAGACTTTCTCCTTTTCAGTTTTGAGAAACCAGCTCATTAAAATTTGCTCTGACCTGATGTAACATCAGTTGCAAAGCTACTTACAATCAAGAATTAATATCCACCTACATAACCATAATTTAATATTTTAATCTCTTCTCACTATAGCAATAGCTAATATAAGTACATCGTGAATGAAAACAACATTATTAAACTTTCAGGAAGAAATATTTGGGAAATTTATTCATTACTGTTTTTATTTCCAATATATTATGATTGCTAATAAAGGTTTATGTATCACGATAAAATTGAAAACATTTATTTCCCGATACGAATTTGAAACAAGCAATAAAGGTTAATAAAGCAGGATTTAATGAATTCATCAAATTTCGGTAGAACTCGTCAGCAGAATACTCTACATACACGGATATATATACTTTTGAAATTACATTGGGAGATATAAAACTGATAAGTAAACAAACTACATTGAATTAGTCATGCAGAAAGACAGGTGCGAATGTTCTCCAGGTCATGGCCAAATAGATAAGGGGAGAGAGAGTATGAGAGATCAAAATTAAGATAAATTGCATTACGCTTCAACTACATCACTTAGATAAACAGTTAGTCATTAGAGAATATAACAAGAATTGCAAACAGAGTAGTATCAATAGTAACAGTTATAATAACAATAATAATAATTACAGTGTTGAAGTGAGTTAAGATAATCCTCCTGATAAAGGATAGTTTTAAATGAATCAAGAATAATAATGATAAGAATAAGAATAAGAGGTAGAATAATAAGTAAAACGTATTACCATGGTAGATTCAGAGTCACGATAGAGTTAACACTCAGTTGTAAGCAAAAGTTTGGAAATTTCGACAGCAATGGCTCAGTTTATGTTAAAAATTAGTACTAAGTAAAGCGTTTATTTCTTGACAATTGATCATTGGAGGCAACCGGTAGGAAGCCTTAGACCTAGGTTTCATGCTTGTTGGCACTTACCCGCAGTGAGGCGTAACTGTAACCATGATGGAACCTATGTCCTTTGTGATATTCGACACTAGACACACTACACTAGTTACTAACTAGTGTCAAATCAAATTATCCAATACTGTCCCACAGGAGGTTCACTGCCACCTTAAATCGCCCAGTAGTAACATCTCTGACTGCAGCACCAGGTAACACGGGTTTGAGTCTCCGAAGGGACATAAGTTTCTTCAGGGTCTCAGGTGCGTCTCACTGAAGAGTGCCAACGAGCGCGAAACCCAAATGCAAAGCTTCTTGCCGATTATCTCCAACGATTTAATCAAAACAGTTCAGAGTGCACCATCGTGGTGAGCAACCCAGCATGGTGGCCACAATGTAAATTTGACTAATAGAGTTCTGTCTGCACCAAACAATGGACTAGACACATGACACTAGTTAGTTAGTAGTTTCCAATTAGAATAGCAGTTGTTCACTTGACTTCTTTGGAATCATTGTAATTGGACGTGAATGTAATTAACTGACTATATTTCATATCACCACTTACTAAATTTTCAAATGATGTATTGAGACAGTAATATAGTACTGTTCTCTGCCTATCTATATGAAGTTTTATCTCCAAGAATTTTCAAGTTGTGCATTCACTTCATCAGTTGTTAAAATTATTCTCCAGGCAGAGATCAATCTGGTCATATATCACTCAGAAAATTTCTTTAAGTCTAGCTTATTTGAAAGCTAACCTCGGTTTTAGGAAGCTGACTTTGAGCCTTACTTTAACTGACAGAATTAATCTCTGCTACAATACGTCGATATTTAACTGAGTAAAATGATTCCCATTATATACACAAGACTGTTATTATTTGTTCTTTAATATTTCTCAAGGTTATGTAGGCTTTATCAACTGTCTATAAAATGAATTCCATGCATTTTAAAAGTAACAATATTCCTTAGGCTTCAAGTACGCTTACAACGCCACAGAATTTTAATCTTGAAGAAATTTTTCCTTCTATAACAAGCTACTCAGACAGCGTTTTCTCATATAAATCAGATTTTGACTTATCTATTTACGTGGCGAAATTCCTTGACATCTCCATATTACAGATGAAACTATTCACATGCCTGAGAAAGATAAAATAAATCAGTCAAAACTAATCATTTCCTGAAGAGATTTAATGTTCTCTGAAAGCATATAGAGATGTGTGATTGAGATTGATGATCCTAGAGGTGATCTGTTCCTTGTGATGAAATAAAAACATGAACACTGATCCTGAACTCAAAAGTAGGACTAAGCTCTCAGTTGATGAAATAATATTAAGGGTTCATTTATGCCTAACCTCCACTATGGTGAAATTTCAAAATAAACTACATAAACAAATGAATAGGGTGGCAATGGAATCACTAATATCCCCAATAGTAGCAGACATATTTGTGGATAGTTGGGAACATTAAGCTCTTAGAACGTATAATCCTGCTCCTAGGTTATGGTGGAGGTACACAGATGACACATTCACCGTGTTGAAATCTGAATATAATCCCCAATTTCTCATACATATAAACTAACTAGTAGACGGAATCCAATTCACTTCTGAGTTAGGAAATGAACAAGGTGAATTGCCAGTGCTAGACTGTAGAATAAAACGAAATCAAGATGGTGAGTTAGATACTAGCATTTATAGAAAACAGACACACTCTAACAAATACTCAAACGTTAATTCATCCCATCCATAACTGCTAAAGACTGGTTTAGTTAAATGTTTGTATAATCGGGCCAAGAGCCTAACTAGTAAGCCAGAAGATTTAAATAATGAAAACAAACAAATAAAAAAAGTATTACTAGTGATAACTAACTACCCACCAGAATTTATTCAAAAACATATAAATAATCATAGAAAAACTTAGGTTAATAGTAAAAATGACGAAAATAATACAGAAATCAAAGCCTCTGTAGCACTGCCATGTAACGAAGGAACGTCAGAGGCCTTACGTAGGATTCTCAATGAGGTTGGAATTAGGGTACCATTTAAACCAAACAAGTCACTCAGAGATAAACTCTGTAGGCTTAAGGACCCAAAAGATCCAATTAAGAAGAAATAATATAATTTACCAAATACCATGTAATGACTGTGAGGTAAATTACATAGATCAGTCAAACTAAGTAGATTAGGGTCAACTAGAATATCAGGACATAAAAATTTAGCTAGACCTAGAATGATTGACCCTGCCAAGTTAAATAACCTAGAAAAAAGCTCAGCCATTGCACTGTACTGCATTCACTTGCATGAAATCACACAAGAGAGTGAGTGGGACAGAGTGAGAGTACTAAAAAGTAATATAGTTAGGAGGAGATAGTCAGCGGTTAATCACTGAAGCTTTGTTTATCGATTCAACACCGTACACGTGCAATTGGAATGACACAACGCCTATAACGGAGATATGGAAAATGGCAACAAACAACAAAGGGAAGTTGGAGAGATAGGAAGATATTTTTACCAGTTAAATCAGAGGATAATAAATATTGCTTAAAATTTATTTTAATTCACGCTCTTATTGACTAACAACACTCGTCTTATTTCCCATAGTGTCAAATTTTATTGACAACACTAATATTGTTTCCGAATGTAAGTTATCTTCTTTTCTGTTTCACATATGTCTACTGAACTTTGATTGATTTATACATATGTATAATCAAATTTTACCCATGTGTTTGAACGAAGCAAGAAAATTGTGTGAGTACCTTGATATGATTATGAGCAATAAATTGTGCTCGAAACGTCAACCAGTTGTTAATACTGCATCGCTGTGTGATATTTAAAAATAAGCCTATCTAATAAGGCATTCCATTCTACCACAGTGCTCAAGTTCTACACTTACATTCGTAAAAACATGAAGCTGTGAGCAGTTCACCAGGGTCAGTTCACTCGATGTAGATATTGATTAAAGTAATCAAATGAAAAACTTCATTAGACCTCTACATAATAATCAGATTTGATAACACAGTGACTAAACACATTAGTACAATTCTTTTCATAGAAACAGGGAATTTTCAAGTAAATTTAAACTGACAAAACGACAGTAGAAATTTTATTGTTTAGTTTGTCGAGTAAGATGATGAAGGACATCATTTGAATTATTGTAGTTTATTTCATTACATGTCATTATTTTAAGTGTCTAAATCCGGCTTTTATCATCTTTAGAACTTCTCATTAGCAAACTGGATGTGTCATACCATTAAATAACTATTGTTTGAATTGATACCATATCTTAGCTGCAACATTTCTACACTCCTAACAATCAACTTATCTGAATTGAATTTTTTAAATGACCAAGGAAGGAAGTCAAGTGTCAGCGTTTCTCTAATGTCTTTTTATCATTCTTCAAGTACTTAGATGAAAGTAACACTGTTCTCGTTGGATCTTTACATAAGCGAAGAAGTCAAGAATACCTTGTTGACGACCTGATTAATATCAGCTACTAACTTGTATGCTTACAAGTCGCTAAAATTAATAATATTATAAGATTAGATTATGATCCTACTATAGTACAAATTGACTAAAGTTGTATATTAAAAGCCAATAGATGCTAATTGAGTGGACAGCTCTTTGCAAGTTCATTGTGAATCTTGGAGATACAATGTACAACTGCTATCTCAGACATGGGTGTAAACTGTTGAAGAACGCAAAACTAATACGAAGTTATTCACCATTCATTGGTGTTTAGTGGGTTCTCAGTTAGTTGAATTTCTTCCTGAAAATCACTAAGATACCATTCTGTTATCCACCTTTATTTAAAGAAAATGATTTTTTCCTGTTATATCCCCTAAGTCTTTGCAGAATGATAAAGTCTATGTAAGTATTTCTGACAGGCGGCTGCAGACTTCCATCAACAGCCGCCTTCACCCCATACTGAAATAAAGATAGTCAACCAGAAACGATTACCAGCAAGGATCTCTGGCAACCAACCAACCAAGAACCTATGGCATAACAAATATATAGGAAGAAATACAGATGGGTTGGACGCAAGCTGAGGAGACTGTCCAGTGACATCAAGTATAAGGTAGGCACTTAATTGGAACCCGAAAAGGATATGACAGGTTGAGTGTTGGTTCGAGGGTAACACGGATGAGATAGTACGAGAAGGAGATGAAAGCTTATGAGCAGTCGCAGAATCAGCTGAAAAGAACAGGATGAAATGGAGATGTGCTTGAGAAGCCCTATTTTCCACTAGGAACCCAGGACAATAATCAAAATAATAATGTAATAGTAAGTATGTATACGTTACAGGACAGGACTCCAGGTGAACGTAGAGAAGATGGGGATGATGAAGATAACCAACGAACAGTAACAACACCAACCAGCACCCCCAATCATCATCAAAGGGAGAGATTTAACAGAGGTTAGCTCCTTCACTTATCTAGGAAGCATCGTTTCAACCATAGGCGGAACGGATGAAGATGTCACAGCAGGGCAGAATCGGAAAGGCGAGGTACGCCTTCACCAACTTGGAACCAGTTTGGAAATCTTCTGAACTCATTTAGCATTATCAACAAGATTCTGATTTCCAACACAAATGTGAAGTCAGTCATTTATTCTGTACGGGTCAGAAACTTGACGCCGGCGTCACGAAAAACATTTCCAATAAGTTACAGACTTTTGTTAGCAGCTGACTTTGATCCATACTGAAGATGGAATGGCTGGCTAGAAAGAATTAGCAACAAGAAACTCTGGCTGGGGACAAACCAACCGACCAAAAGCCGATCGCTTAACAAATATGTAGGATAAAATGGAGATGGATCGGGCATATGCTGAGGAGGCCATCGAATGACATCGCGAGCAATGCTGACCATCACTCAAGTGGAATCCTAATGTAAGCGACGAGAAGGTTGTCCGAGGGTGACATGGAGCAGATCGTTTGGGGAGGAGGAGATGAAAGATTATGGACAATCATGGACCGAGTTAAAAAGAACGGCAGAAGATAGAACAAAGTGAAGATGTGTTGTTGAAACGCTATGTTCCACTCGGAACGCAAAGGAATAATAATAATCTATAATAATACATTATAACTACTTCTTGTCTCTCTTGACTTCTCTTCTTTTGCTTTCCAATACTTATTGCTTATCAATCTAGTAAAACAATATGCTTTTTTTAATTGAATATATTATCTTATTTTTAAATATTTATTCCTTATTTTTTTGTAGACAATTATTTTTATTCGAGATAAAAATTCACGTGGTCAAGAGATCTCGGGTTACATAGATTATGCTCATCGGTTGAAAACTGAAGAATTTGTATTATACTTTACGGACAAAAAGAAATTACTCCCAAGACCTGGAGACTTAAGGTATACAGAAAAATTAAAGCATATTTTGTGTTCTCTAATTTATTTTATATTATTATATTTGTTCAAATGAATTTCAAGTACTAGTTAAACAACTAGGAAGTGATTAGATTCTCGTAGCATCATCCCAGCTCATCGGGGCAAGAAGACTGATAATGAGGAAGAAAAGAAACTGCTTAAACGCAAACCAATCAAAAGTTATAGAGACGATCATAAAATTGATGCAGTGAAGTCGAGAGATACTTGCAGTAGGTAATACCCATCAAATATTTACGAAAACCAAAAAGGTGGAATTTAAAAATCATCGAGAAGGATGTTTATTTAGTAACTTCTGGACATTGGTGGCTGGAGCGTTTGACGCAACACCCTGAAGAGTAGTTCAATCGGCCTACAACTCAATCATAACTTTAGTATAGATATAAACTCTGCAACTATAACTGAGACTACACAAACCACCTGTAACCTAAAACAATACAAAGTAGCAGACCTGATAGTGTGGCTCCAGGGGTGTTTATGGATGATGGTAGTGAATAATGAACTAGATCAATTAAGGTACTAGCTAGTGTATGAGAACCCTAGATACCTTTATTGGACTACTGTCGGTCATTCTCTGCCCAAGTTTATGAGAAAGAAAACGAATCTCCCTGTAATAATCACAGTGGAATTTAGCTTGACTGACATAGTATCTAAGTTTCTAGGTTTCATATTCCTACGGATATTAAGTACGGATCTGGAGAAATAAATTTAGGAAGAACAAGGAGGTGACAGACTCTGCAACACAAGCGTACTTTCCGGTTTTCAACAATTACCATATTTAATAACCTTGAGATGTCATATCAAACTACCAAAGAAAGGAGACCTAAGTCAATGCAAGAACTGGCGCGGAATTATGCTCCTGTCCATCCCAAGCAAAATACTAAGCCGCATCATCCTGGAGAGAATCAAACATGCCTTGGATGAAAAACTCCGACCGGAACAGGCTGGATTCAGGAGAAACAAGTCATGCATTGATCAGATCGCCACATTACGGATCATCATTGAACAAAGCCTGGAATGGCAGTCACCTCTCTATCTCAACTTAATCGACTTTGAAAAGGCCTTTGACAGCGTCGATCGAGAGGTGATTTGGAAACTACTCCGCTACTACGGGGTGCCACCGACAATTATACATCGCATCCAACAGCTATACGACAATGCTGCATGCCAAGTAATCCACAACGGGAAACTTACGGAATCCTTCAAAGAAGTGAGGACAGGAGTAAGACAAGCTGGCTGCCTACTATCGCCAATTATTTTCCTGATTGCAGTAGACTGGATAATGCTACAAACAGCGGGCAATGAGGAAACAGGCATAAAATGGACACACACAAAAACTTGGGGGATCTGGACTTCGCCGATGATATATGTCTGATTTCCCACAAACTGGAAGATATGCAAGTGAAAAGCAACAAGTTGGCAGAAGAAGCATCCAGAGAAGATAGGCCTTCCTTCAGGTGAACACAGAGGTGATGAAGATTCCTGGTCAACAACAACTGCAACAACAACAATCAGCATAAATGGAAGGAACCTGAAAGAAACAACCTCTTTTACCTACCTGGGAAGCATCGTTTCAACTACAGGCGGACGGAACTGACGAGGATATCAAAGCAAGAATCGGAAAAGCAAGACAAGCTTTCACTACTCTCAAGTCTGTGTGGAGGTCAACAACACTCAGCATCAAAAATAAGATCCGGATTTTCAACTCCAATGTGAAGTCAGTGCTACCATACGGATCAGAGACTTGGTGCGTCATAAAGAGCATCTCAAACAAACTACAGACCTTCATTAACAGTTGTCTTCGCTCACTACTCGAGATCAGATGGCCAGAAAAGATCAGCAATAGAGATCTCTGGGAGCGAACCAACCCAGCAGAAACCGATTGTGAAACAAATAGGCAGGAAGAAATGGAGATGGATTGGCCATACTCTGAGGAAACCATCAAGTGACATCACTGGACAAGCCATTGCTCGAGTGGAACCCGAAAGGGAAGCGGCGAGTTGGTCGTCAGTGCAAGGGTGACTTAGAGGAGGTCATGTGAAGAGGAGATGAAAACGTGTGGGCAGACATGGAGCCAGGTGAAGACTCTAGCAGAGAACAGAACGCAATGGAGACGCACGGCTGAAGCCCTATGTTCCTCTAGGAATTAAAGGATACAATAATAATGATAATAATAATTGAGATGTCATATAACCCTGTTGGTTGTAAAGTACTTCGGTAATGTCTGATTGTGAAGGGAGTATCGAGAAGGTATATTGTACTAACATTCAGTCATGAAGGAACTTGTAGACAGCTGTCTTCTGTAGTGACGTCAACCAATGATGCATATCAGAAATGTCTAATCTCACCGTATTTGTTTAGTTTCATTATAGATGTACTAAAGGATTTAGGTTGCATTTATTTAAACCTCTCAGGAATTAATTTGCCACAGGGAAAATTTCTTACTGGTCCAGAAAACACAGACGAAAATGTTTTTATGTGAAGATGATGACGAAATGCAGTATTTTGAATATCATGAAAAAAATCCCAGTATATTTGCATTTACCAAATGTAATATTATGCTCCAAGACTCGTTTGTATCTACTTGTAATTTAATGACTGAGAGTGAAATGACTAAATGTACTAACCATTTCAACAATTAGGGAAACTGAATCAACCTCAGCACACTAGTTGTTGACACAATCTTCAGTTACCTAGTCAATTTTCAGTAGACTTCTTCCTGTACTGTTACTATCAGTTTTAACTTAACTAGCAGCCAACAGATAGTAACCTTCTATCAATGCATAGAATTCCAAAATAATAATACACTTTGGGAAATGTGTAATTTCTACAACTAAAGTAACTGAATGTCAATCCTAAGTGTTTCACTAGCTCAAATATTGACGTACACATTTAGTTTCCACCTCCAAGTTATTAAGACGTCGTATTTTTGACTTTCCACTCTTGGATAAACCAACATAATCACTGATTAGTGGAATTTCACATTTCAAGAAAGATTAAAGTTACTTCAAAATTAATGGCCAAGTTAAACTTTAAGCACCATTAAATACCAGTGGAGTGTGACCGCACCAATGACCTTGAAACGCTCACTGAGCAAGTTAGTGAAACCTGGGAAATAATGTTGTCATCGTCAATAAAATATCCTCATCGAAGTGTTATGCTATTAAATGGGATATGTGGTAAGTTTCAGCTTGTGTTTAGGAAAGATTAAGTTACGCTTTAATCCAAGGACAAGTTAAGGTTAAGTTAACCTAAATTAGGTTTGGTTCGAGTTAGATTACAGTTAGTTTAGGGATATTTTCACGTTAGGGTTAGGTTTAGGAAAGATTAGGGTTAATATAATTATAAAACTTGGGCACTGTGGTAGAGCATAACTCCATTATGGATAAGATTTTATTTTGATGAATCACACAGTGTTGCACAGTAATATTTACAAGTGAAGTTTCGAGCACAATTTATCGCCCTGTAAATATTACTGTATTACACTATGAGACTTTATCAAAATAAATTTTGCCCACAATAGAGTTATACTCTGTTGATACTCCAACCTAAAACTGCGAGCTATTTTTATCACATGTGAGAGGAAGGTATCCGCTGTAACATTTTTCCACGGTTTTATGCATCTTTTTATAAATATATGTATTCCATTGACAAAATGCCTCCTTCACTTGATTGGTGCGTTCGAGGTCATTCGCTGATTGGTAGTCAGTGGTGCTTAAAGTTTAACTTTGCCGAATTAAATAGTTTGAATTTCGTTTATAAAAAAAGTGCAAATGCCTTAAATATTACTCATGTATGCATTACTTATTACTAATACTGGTATTTGTATGAAAATTAACAGTTTCTATAACTGGGAGACTCAGAATGTTGTCGCCACTTCATCAGCAAACTACACTGTAATATCAGAAAATGCAACCGGATTGTTGTTTAGAAATAAACGTGATAGAAAAATATTGAATGTTGACCCAAATGTAAGTCATTTTGTTGTCTGATACGTATATAAATATATATACATAATCCTGTAGTGGTACAGAGTAGTAATATTTAGTAGGAGAATTGTTTATTTGGAGAATGATATACAACGCTGACTCAGTACAGAAACCTTAAATTGAAATTTCCATTCACACAACCTCTTCGTATCCTGCTTCTTTTTTATCTTCCTCTCGTGCTTTTTATATATTACTTCAAAAGTGTCCTTCATTGCTTCTCTTAGTAAATTAACCGGTCACTCTGTTAATCAAGATCCTTGCAGAGAGTGGCTTTATTGCACATCCCTGCTAATTGCAGCGTTGTAGTCCGTTGCTATGGTGATTTAATGACAAGTTATATTTTTTGTATGCTTTTTAAATGAAATTTTGTATTATCGGTAGCATTATATTTTTGAATGCGTTATATTTGCTGCATTTTTATCAAAAAAATGTTGCTTTATACTGATATCTGCACAATATAATGGAATAAAGGAGACATTAAGCTCAAAAGTTAAACGTAGTTAATTGAATTTTCATGAAATCATGGTGGTATATTTTGGCCTACTTATTAGAAAGTCTCAACACCCACAGGATAAACGTGGCGTCTCATCAAAAACAGGATTTGAGATATAATCGCCCCCTTGCACATGACGTTTGGCACACAATATACTACTTTATATTTTTCAGTAGTACTAATACTAATAGTGAAAAAAGCTGAAATAAATGATAAGTTAACTGATGTTTCTCAAGTAGGGTAAAATCATGCCTTCTGAGTTCTCCTTCTAGCTACCATTTAAAGAAATACTTCTAAAATACTACCTACCTAGAACAGTTCGCCCTTTTCATTTGCCCAGATTATCAGATGTGTTCATTTTTTTTCAGTTTGCTCTTTGTGTTACTGAACTAAAGACACACTTATCACTCTAATGTGATTTAAAACAGCAATTTCTTCCAAAAGCATCACCTTAATCTTCAGTGTTACCTATTCATCCTGAAAAGATATAATATGGTACTATGTGATGAAGATTTATCGGTAATATATAAAGATGCGTTCATCAACTAACAAAATTATCAAATAGTGGATAGATTTGATGTCAAAGAGAACAAATGAACCAGCGTTGCCGCAAAACATGGGAGACATGAAAAGAAGAGGAAGCAACACAATACGAAGGGTAGAAGTAGCATAACACGGAAGATCTGTGCAAATTACGATTACCAGATTAGGTGTACATAATTTCCTTATATAGAGATGTCAAATTCCAAATAAACAATCCGTTACCAGGTCTGCCGTCTTCTACGGTTACAATGGTACTGTTTACTGGATGGCATTTTAATCGAGATCTCGATTTTTAGAATTTTTCTCATCAAACATGAGTTCAATGACGACGTGTTATTACGATTTGTGTTTGTATTTAATGTTTACATAAGATGATTCATTTAATTTTGGTGATATTGTGTATGTTTAGGGTAAAGTGTAACATTACAAGATTCACAAACTTTTCATGGTCAAAGCCATTTATTAGGTTAGTATAATTATCATTTACCCTTAAACACAATAACGTCACATATATAGTTTTTCCATTGTCTACGAACAGTGACCACTAAGTATCACTCTGGCGTTTTCCTTGAAAACTGGAAGTTTCTGGACGTCAAAATAACTGGATGGTTCTTAGTTAAAACGAAGGAACTACCTGTTCCTCCTTCTTTCTAATTTATTCTCTGGCTGACGTTTACAAAATTCCAAATGAAACCCCCTAAAGTTGCTTTTTCATTGATTCTGGCTAGCATTAAAGTAGAGGACAAAGGTTTCGTCCTACTTCGGACTCGTCGACTTAGTATACTTCCCCCCGGTAAGTAATGATTTTCTCACTAGGACTTGATTGAATTCAGTAGACCAAAGTATTATAAGCTGGGTCACTGGATCCCTAAATTATTTATTTATTTATTCATGAATTACTGAAAAGAAAAATTTGTATTTCTTTCTTATTCAATTTCTAGGCTGCTTCACCTGGTGATAATTCCAAAAGAACAGTAATTGAAACGGATAAATACCTTCAAGTTGTTATTTACGATCATATAACAAGAAGAAAAACATGATCATATATAGACGCATATAATTTTCTGTATTTTTCTCTCGCTTCCTATATAATCTATCATTCTAACAAGGCAACTAATTTAAATATAAATCTACCATACATTTAAAAGAAAGGATACGTAAATGAATACACATTGTAATTTGTATAAACTGTTGACAAGATTTGACATGATGGTTCGAAAGAAAGTGGACAACAATTGAGACTGATGTAATTGAAACCACAAGTAATATGAAGACTTTTTCACTGGTCAATCATTGTATAATTCATCTCTACTACTCACGTGTATGCATATACCAATGTTGAATAAATTGGTTATCCTAGTTGAAATAATTTTTTTATTTATCTTTAATTCTTTCAATGAAGTAAGTGTTACTGGCGCAAAGTACAAATAAATGGATAAAATAATGTGGAAACTGACACAAGATTCAATTAGTAAGAACTGTTAGATGGGAAAAGCAAAAACATTTTAGTGGATTTTAACACTCCTTAATGAACAACGTTTATTATTATAATTACTATTATACGAAAATACTTAGCCATGAGGTTGTTATGAGATCACAATTAACTTAACCAACAGCTAGTAACTATATGAAATGACCTGTTATCTTGCCTCTTATCAGCACTGAATAAATGTACTGACCTTAAGATGTATAGTGATTGACTCCTGTTATGATCTATGTCGCCAGTAGAAATGAACTCGTCGCCAATTTGCTATGATCTTGTCGACAGTTGATATGACCAAGTGGACTTAAGCGTGGGTATAATAATACGACTTTAGTGGGGAAAATTATTATTATATTTATTATTTTCAAAAGAATAGACACGGAACAAAGAGTACTCTTTTCGATAAATTCATCATCAGGTTCTACAATTATATATACATTATAATGAATGAATGAATTAGTCTTATGAACGACATTAATGTTTAAATAACATCAAATCAATAATATTGATAAATTACAGCCGAACAGCATCAACATAAAATAAGCTGAAGGTCAGGAGAATCAGGAAAAGTAATAGTACAAATTCATGAGTTCATAGTCTCTACTGAGGGCCAGGGCAGTAGTAGGGGCTGGACTTGTTTCTTTATTATTATTATTGTTTCCTTTAATTCCTAGAGGAACATAGGGCTTCAGCCGCCCGTCTCCATTGTGTTCGGTTCTCTGCTACAGTCTTCACCTGGCCCCATGTCTGCCCACACGTTTTCATCTCCTCTTCACATGACCTCCTCCAAGTCACCCTTGCACTGACGACCAACTCACCGCTTTCCTTTCGGGTTCTACTCGAGCAATGGCTTGTCTAGTGATGTTACTTGGTGGTTTGTTTCCTCAGAGTATAGCCAATCCATCCCCATTTTTTCCTGCCTATTTGTTTCACAATTGGTTCCTGGTTGGTTCGCTCCCAGAGATCTCTGTGGGGAAAATTACGTCATATTTATATATTTTTGACCACATTAAAATCAGCCTAGGGCAGTGAAAATATGTAGTTCTGATTGGTAGGCGATTCGCTTAGGACCATGAAAAATAAATATTCTGATTGGTTGGCGATTAGACCAATACAAAGGTGAGAAAAAAGCTGAAATTTTACAGTAATCCGATCACACGATGAATCATAAGATGATTACTGTTTTAAGCCGACACTTATTGATTCACAATACATCAACAACATTCCTGACGAATGTCTGTACTGTTACTGTAAATTTCGGCTTGAAATACCACGTTTTACTTACATGCGTTGTTGCTTCAAGCGTTCACTGGACTTTTGTTTTGCATAAGTGATTAAATTTGCTAAATTCTAAAGGTTAATCTGGTAGGATTTCATTGTTATTCATTTCATAAAGCAGAGTGTAGCTATTTAAGTAGGCTAAATTTTATCATACTTAGACTAAGCACATATTGAAACTAATCCTTATGTACTTTGACGCACGTATCAAGTGGAGAGCGTTTTACACACATTCAAACTTCCTTTTTACCAATATCTAAAATTTCTGTTTTACAAGAATATTTGTCAAGAATAAATACTACCATAGATTTATCATGAATGGATCCGAAGATTTTAGATTGATAAGAAGAAAACCCATCAATGACCATAGTGTCGTGTATATATCGGTAAAATGAGTCACTGAGATTCATTTATGATAACAGAGAATATAAATTTAGGTTATTCCAGAATAACGAAATTCTTAGCCATTATTATGTACCCACAAAAGAATCAAGCAGTGCAAAAACCCCATGAAATAATATAGTTAATTCGACAGGAAATACTTATCTATCTGAACATATGCAAAAGAAATTAGGCAGCGTCAATTTCTAATTGAAGAAAAGATTTCCTATTCAAGTATTGGTTTGTAGGGATTTGGTTGATTGGTTACAGGATTTCATTACTACCTGACATTGGTTAGAGAACCATTGGAAAACCTGGGAGTACTGGACAGCTGTTTCCTTCTAGTTTGGAACTCTTCAGCAGTACGTACCCACCGGGGTTCGAACCCAAGACCTTCTGGTTACAAGGTGAGTTCGCATACCATTAAGCCACGGGGACCCGACCCAACGGCCCATGAATTCTAACTTCTGCCAATTCACGAAATAGCGCAACCGCTAGCCAATGTCTTCGGAGAGTATTTGTCCTCACATCCGACCTGGTGCACCCCACTGGTCACGATTTCCCACTGCAACCCTAGGTAACTACCTACCTGAATAGGACCAGTCGCCAGTGAGCATCACATTTCCTATTCAAGTATTGGTTCGCAGGGATTTGATTGATTGGTTACGGGTCCCAGTGGCTTAATGGTCTACGAGCTCACCTTGTAACCAGAAGGTCCTAGGTTCGAACCCCACTGGGTGCGTACTGATGAAGAGTCCCAAACTGTGACGAAACAATTGTCTAGTACTCCCAGGTTTTCCAATGGTTCTCTAACCAATGTCAGCTCATGATGAAATCCTGTGACCAAAAGATTTCCTACTTTGAAAGAGAAAGGGAATATGCAGTAGAATTACAATGTGAAATCATAGTCTTCATGCCGCCCAGTAAACGAAACAGTATCATCACGTATTAATTCGTGCAAAATACATCAACATACTGTATATCTATATCCGTATTCTTTTTTTCCACAAGACAGACAGTAATATAGACTTTATGGATGAACAAAAGTGAATAAAAAGGATGACCATTGGGCTCAATATACTACTGATTGATTGAGATAAGTAGTTGGATACCACTTGCATCAGTCAGTTGCGTTTTCTAGCCAGATCTAAGTGATTTAAACACCAGACGGCCGTTTCACCCGTTTCGGGGCTAAGCTCATCAGTGGTGGCCGCAGTTCGACTCAGCTCAGAGAGCCATATCAATTCAAACCACCCGAAGTGCGATTACATAGAATCAAATTTGTCACTCGCAAATTACAAAGTTCGAAGTGAGAAATCACCCCAAATGAGAGAAATGTATGTCTAGTGTTTAGATTACTTCAGTCTAGTTAGGAAGCACCACTGTGTGACGTGGATGGCTTCCACCTACTCATATAGATAAATCAGTAGTATATATATTATCCCGTTATTTTGCTTACTATGTTGATGCCATTCATGTTATCTGATCTCAATATTTGTGGTTTCCAAAGAAGATCATGATGACTTCTGAGCTCGAACTGTGTAATTTACAAATGACAAATCAGATCCAGTGATCGTAAGAGTCAGTTAAAGGCGCCATTGAATTTATCAAAGAAGTTATCATAAGCTTGATAATTAAGGGCTACGAAAAGTTTTTAGAGATGTAACGCGCCTACTTGATGAACGTTTTGATTGCTGAGATCACATTATTTTTAGATTCCATAAAATATGAATTATCCTTAGTTTGCTTTTATACTGCCAAGCTGTAACACCACTCATTTATTCTCAGTAGAAAGAAAACCAAGTTATGATGAATTCGTGTACTAGACCTTGAGGAGACAAAATTTAAAGTTTTTTCAACGTACTTACACAAAATAAATTACTTTGATTCATAATTAACACCCACTATAGACTACTTATTTCATTTGTTGGTATTAGTAGTTACTAACTGACTAAACCTAAGCTATGTAGCAAAGCTTTCCACTTGAATTAACCTGGGGGCTAAATGACCCTAAACAAGTCACTGAATATCATAATGATCACTAAAAAAAAGTTGTTAAATGCTAGTCAGCTGTCCCCTTAGTATTATTCTTGACTTAAAAAGTCATTGCTTGGTATCATCACTTATATAACATTGAGAGAGATATTCATAAAGGAACAAGCATAATGAAATTTAAAAGGTAACATGAGACAAACTGAGAGTTAAACTCAAACTCGAAGGAAAATAAAGCTGTAAATTGCCCAAATGATGAACGCCAAGTCATTATCATCTTCTTGTCTCATTATATTTCCTTAGTACAATGAGCAACACATATATCACACTGAAAAGCGCTTTCCTTTTTTAAACCTAAAAACAAAGTTTGAAAAGTGAATGTGTATTAATTCAACGCTAACTTTTGTCAATTTCGCTTAAACATGTCGCCATTAAGTACTTAATTTCAACGTAAAATTGCCTACAGAATGTTTATAAGTAGGAACTGTATGGTAGGTCATTTAAACATTCTATTAAAACTCCTCATCAGAATAACTGTGAATTATCCAACTACCATTTGAGAAGTACCATCAGCCATTGCCAACGGGTTGATCTTCGACAAAATCTCAGAACGGATACAGAGGGCTAGTTTCGCGTATGCCAGTTTAAGCCGACTCTGGCGTAGACGTGATATCCGGCTATCGACCAAAGGGTGTGTGTACTGCTCAGCAGTCCGCCAAAACCTCCGCCTTTATGGCTGTGAGACCTAGCCATTGAGAGCAGAAGACATGAAAAGATTAGCTGTCTTCGATAATAGGTGTCTGTGTTCTATCTTCCGTGTGAAGTGGTATAATAAGGTAAGCAATACTGAGGTTAGGCATCGGTCGAGTGCTAGGTGAGGAGGGTAAATAAATCGAAGAGGCTGTG